TCCTGAAGCAGCGGGTAAAGGGCTGGCCCAAGGACTGCTTCTGCTGTGGCAATGGAGGCCACAGCAAAAATCCGCAAGAGCAACAAGAAGCCCTGAAGGGCTTCTGGAGCCCAGCAAGGTAAAAAGTGCTGTCAGGCATCTGTCACTCAGTCAAACCATACTGTGAAATACCATGTCTGAGAAACAAGCAAACCCAAAGCATTCGATTTGTTTGCTTTAGCAGAGTGAAACACATGTTGCCAATTGCCCAAGTCCATCCCCAACCTGCCAGAGCTGACACCGGACAGCTTACTTCTAAATCTTTATTTGTTTCCTACACAGAGAAAATGGAGGAATGTTGAAGCAGCAATATTTAAACACACTATCAAGGAGCCATCGATCTCGGAGATCTCACAAAATGCAACAGAGGGCCATTTGTGTGGTGATCTCTGCTAAGGGGCAGGGTGAGAGCAGGTCCAGGAGCAGCCTTTTCAGACATCAGGAATGCTCTATGCAAAGGTGGAGCCATTCCAGCCCACGTTGGCAGCGTTCATGTCAAAGTAGTTGATGTACACCCTGCAGAAGAGGCACAGGAAGACACAAACAACAACCTTATTATCTCATTCATCTAAATAGGGAGACAGGACAACAGGACAGGAGCAATGCTTTCTATTCCTCAGAAGAAATGTCAAGCTTCATTTTTACTGAAATCTAGTTATGTTCTCTGGTAAAGCCTCCAAACTCTCAATATTCCTCAGAGTCCCTGGAACTGTACTACTACCTTTTTTTAAAAATACAACTTATTCTTCAGTCAAGGACTGTCCAGACACCATTGCAGCTTTTGGCTCTCAGCCTAGCAAGAATTTCCAGAGATCAAAACCTTCTGGTTCCAAATGCTGCAGTACTTCACATATGTCAAAGAGGCAGCCTTACAAAAACCAAGCAGGCCCTCAAGGCCAGTTGTACACTTCTCACTTCTAACCCCACTTCCCATCCTTTGCTACTGCACACAGACGCTGTCCCAAGACTCCACAGCCTGTGAAGGAGCTGTTCAGAGCCTTCTGGTTTTTACTGTGTCTTTCAGATCCAGCCTGTTACTGGTCTTCTTCTGTACTTTCAGCCATCCATCACCAGATGACAAGACATGACACCTCAGAGGCAACTTGTCAGTCCTCTGGTATTTTTCCCTGCTCTGAGAACAGGATGCTATTTAACAGGGGACTCTAAAGGGAAAGGCATCAAACTTACTGGACATGAAAACATTGCAAATGATAATTCGGTATTTTCTCAACCACATAGACTTATTCCTGGTTTTCTGTATGTTGAAATAAACTTGTCAAAGCAATTTCAGAAAGCCAGATAAATAAGGCTACAACCATGTCCCAGCCTTACCTGTCTGCAGATACATGCAAGTGCTTGGAGATCAGATCACAGAGGAGCTTGGTGTAAGTCTTGTTCTGCTGCCCTCCTATCTTGCCGATGCTGTAAAGGCTGCAGAGCGCGCAGGGATCAGTGGAGCCGCCGAAGGACATCATCTGATCAGGTATGATGTGCACAGCTATGTACTGCGGGAACAGAACAAATGGTTACAGCAGGTCTGACCTTCCCTATCACGATGCAAACCTGTTTTGGGTACCAACACTAAGCAGCCCAGTCATGTGCTGTGTTGCAGCCCAGGCAGTTCCCCAGCACTGCCCTCTGGGCCCTTCCTGCACTTGTGGGAAGCAGTAAGGGCTCAGGCACTGAGGCCCACCGGGGTGGCACGGTAGTGGCCCTCAGACTGCTGGGATCCCCTCGGCCTGGCTTTCGGCTTTGGGAGTGAAGGCTGTGCTTGTTGAAACCCGCAGACGAGAGGGAGGGCAAAGAGCATGCGGCTGGAGATAAAGGCCTTAAAACTGTGTGTGCATGCCAGAACTCACACCCTTAAATCACAGCCTGAGCCACCGCGCTGCCTGCAACTCCGCTTTGATTTCTCAGGCTGCAGCGGTCTGGCTCAAGAGGGGCCGTGTCCGATCCCGGGATAACCGGGAGAAAACGGACTAGAGCTTGGTATGGGTTACTTCGTTTTGCCCGAGTCTCGCTGGCCTGGCGGATACTAGCGTCTTCGCCCAGACATGCGGCTGAGATCCCGACTCCCATCATGG